CCCCCCCCCCTCTCTCTCATAATTTATTCCAACTAAAAAACTTAAAATGAGCTTATGTTGTTTATGTTGTTTTGGGCATAATAGCTTAGCTGGTTAGCTGGTTAGCTGGTTTTGGAAGACCGAAATGTAGAGGAAATTAAGCGGTAACCAACAGTCTGGTTAGAAATTGTCCACGATCGGAATATGTCGAAACTTCAACTGGAGGGGAAAAAGTTTTTGAATAGAGGAACCTTAAGCACTTATATTTTGAAGAGAGAAACCTTAAGCACTTATACTTTATTAATTCTTCTTTTTTTTTTTTGTTGTTGTTGTTGTTTAAATAACATACATCTATACCGGAGATTGCATAATCAATTTCCTAAACTTTCAAATCAATAATTACTAAATATTCCGATTTCCTAAACTTTAATTATTAAATCTTCTAAACTTTCAAATTAATAACTACGAAATCTTTAGTCTAGGTTAATAACTTCTTTTGCTAAAGAAGATTAACTGATAATCAAGTTAAAGGGTGAAGTGATGGGTGGTGAGACATGTAATTGGGCCATTCCATTGGTAAATACAAGTGTGTGTGTTCTTTGTGTTGTGAATATGATTAGACAAGCTTAATCAATATCCATCTGTTGTAAGACACAAAGTTAGTGAAGACTTGGATTTTGTTGTGAATAGAATCTCTCACGTAGTGGCTTTGGAGCATAAACTCTGAACCAAAAAAGAAAAAGAAAGTGTTGATTGGAAACCAAAAGCAGCAGAAATTATGTAATTATTCAAAGATGGGCATAAAAGGAAGCTAATTCAACCATCTTCCTTTTTCATTATTGATTGCTTTTAATGCCTTTTTTTAGGACTTCTTATTATGTTTGCCTTCTTATTAAAGTCACTCTTCTTTCCCACAACACTTGTTTTTTCAGGTTTTTGTAGATTCTCGAAGAGTAGCAAAAGCTCACACGAAACTACTCGGTTTGTTTAACCTTTAAATCACATATTCTCATTGCCTATTAAGCTTCAATAATTCATGCAAATTTCATTTCCATTTTCGGTGTTTAGCTTTTTCATTACTATTGCCTCCTTATTCTTTCGATAAATCTTAAGTTTGAAGCTTTGTTTCATCGTAAATATTAATGTTTATCGTGAATTAACGAGAAAAGTGTAAGGAAAATCCACGTGGCATAGTAGTTGGACAAATACATAAAAGGTCATTTCAAAGGGCAAGGATTGTGGATCCTTTGAGATTGAGCTGTCTGGGCAAAGCAATGTGAAGTGTTTCCCACAACAATTTCTTCCTACTCCTCCCATACTATAAACTTCTCCATGCAACCAATCTCTTTCCACAGATACTCAAATCACACAAAAATCTTTTCGGAAAGAGTTGTGCGTTGTGTTAATTCTAGACCCGTCTTCGACCGTTCTAAAATTTGACGATGCTACTAATAAGTTGGTGTATCTAGATGTTTATATGTGATTTTGAAAAGTATACAGGTTGTATAAAATCAAGTGAGAAGAGAACGGGACGATGTGCACATAAATTATTTTGTTTGTTTAATTTTTTATAAGCTCATATCTATGAAAAAAGAAAATTGAAATGAAATTCAAATTTGTGTTAAAATATATGCATTATCCATCAATCTCATTGAAAGCAACGAGCCAAGAGATGTCGTTTTAAAATCATTTCAATGGTTGAGTTTGACATATTGTACAACAATCTATATCATGTACTGCAACATGACGTTTTCTACTTTATATCGTTCAATATCTACTTTTTTTTTCTTGCAAATATTAATGCTAACTACAAAGAAAAAATGGTTTGTCTTTCAATTTATTCGTCCGTCTTAATTATCATTTTCTATAAATATATAATTTTGATTTCCATGTGTTTTTTTATCTTCCATAAAATATTTATCTCTTAACTTTTTTTTATTTTTTATTTTTTATTTTTTGACTATTATAATCAAATATATATAGTTTATAATTAAAGTTACTAATAAATAACCAAAAAAGCATTCAAAATAAAATTAAAAAAAAAAATATGAAACATAGCTATTGAACAGTCAGCCAAAAAGGCTCACCAACTCATATCAAACTATCCAAACTCAATAAAAATTAATATTCAAAACAACTACAAAAATATTCCAATTAAAAATTTAAAAATAAAACTTGAATATAAAATTAATACTTTTATCATTTATTCAAATAATTCATAAATTTTTTAGTTATTATTTATGGATAATATATTCAACATAATATATATATATATATATATATATATATATGAAGAAAATAAATAAAATTAAAAAAAAAATAATGCTATTGGTTTCTGTTGTTAATTAGTTGTCTGTTTGAGAATTAGGTTAGGAAAAGATTGGTTTGGAGGATAATGCAAAGAGATGTCTCACAATTTTTCAAGCAATTTGGATTATCTCTCTCTCTCTCTCTCCTCCTTTTTCTCTCTCTAAATTTCAAATTCTTTCTTAATCTTGCTTTTCCTTGTCTCCTCCTTTGTTCTGTGCTCGACTCTCCATCGCTCGGGAGCTCTCTCAAGTCTTATTCTAAGAACACAAGTATTACTCACCTTTTCGACTCTTCAGGCGTTCAGGAACTCTCTCGAGTCCTATTCTAAGAACACAGGTATTATTCACCTTTTCGACTCTTCAAGCGCTCCGGAGCTCTCTCGAGTCCTATTCAAAAAACACAAACATTACTCGAGATCAAGGTCAATCAAAGCATAGTTTAATTGGTTAATGCATGATTCGAATCTCCCGAGAAAGCTATTAAAAAAAAGGGTTAGGAATAGCATCGAAACAAAAAGTGATTCTAAATTGGTAATCACTAAAATTAATCACTCACATCATCTTGATAATAAAAATAAAGGGTTTATGATGATTGAAATAGAAAATATGTATATAAGGAATCAACCACAGCTCAGCATAGTTTGTGTATTACCTAAACCCTATACTCAATTCATTCTTTTATTGCCCAATTCACTCCCAAACCCTTGTCTGCCTATTAATATCAAACCCCTCACCTTTTCACCTAATCAAAACCCGTCCGAGCCTCGAAATTAATACTCGACCCAACACGTGCAAGAACGAGACCAAGAAAAGGAATCAACTTTCTCGAGATATTTTCACATAAACGAACGATACTTTTTTTTTAACTTTTCTCTTATACATTCAATGTGTTTCTAATCGTCAGCCTGCATTATTCTAACGCTTCAAATAATGCTAACCCGACATTTAAATATATATATATATATATATATACACATTGGAGATTGAAGGATATGGAGTGAACATGGAGGGGGAAGAAATGGGTTGACTTGGGAAAGAGAACAGCTCATTTATTTTTGGCTGTTCTAAAAGGAAGACATTGAAAGCATCTTTTGCTCCATTCTTATTTGAAACTTAATTATCCAATTCTTTTTGTATTCTATAATATTACTATCAGACAGCCCATTCCCCATATTTATTTATTTTTCTTCCAATCATTGACTAAACCCCTCTACGATGGGCCGTTAAAGATGTATTTTAACAGTTACGAGAGGGAGCACTGATTCACGGTCGATTTAGTTGACGTAATTGTAATAGATGAACGGAGCATGGAAATGGGTATCGACAACAATCGAGGGAAAGTTTGTGATGTTATGACAATCGAGAAATGGAATAAGGAGGAAAAAGTGTGTGGGGTTACTTGTTTTGCTATATTGGTTGATTAGGGTTCTTGTGATTGAAGAAACATTTAGGAAGTTTAGTGAAGAATTGGCAATGAGCAATTGAGTTTAGAACACCAAATGGATAAAGTAAGAACACAATAAGAACTAATATGAGTTTTGAATGCTATATTTACTAACCCTACACATTGCCTTTCATGTTTGTAAGAGTTTTCTTTGATTGGGGGTTTGGGAAGAAGAATCTAGGTAGCCTTCTTCATTTGGGGTTTCGATGTCTCTTCTCATTTCAATACTCACCTACCTTCGTTTTCTTCCCTTGCTTTCTTAACAATCCAATCCAAATCTACTTCACGCCTTCGATCTTACGAAACGAGAAAATATGGTTGCAAATATCTCAATGATCTGTACTTTGTTTTCAGTGATGTCGTTTTAGTTTCTGTACTTTTAAGTGTTCTAGTAAACCCTTCTATTCGGTTTTTGTGGTTAATTCCATAAATTTAACCTTTACCCTTCTCGAGAGTATTCCGATTAACTCAGACTACTACCCAACCTAATCTATAAAAGTTGGGTTGAGTTGGGTTGGGTTGAATTCTTGGAAAATCGAAAAATTCAGTTCGGTTTACGAGTTGACATTTTTTTTTTGTCGGGTCAACTCGATCAACCTAGGGTTACAATCCTACCCTATCGTACCTTACTTTAAAAAAAAAAATTAAGAATGTTTAATATTTATAATGAAGATAGTAATATGTTTGATATTTGAATTTTTTGGTATAATTTTTTTAAAATAGTTTAAAAAAAACAACCCTATCCAACACAAAACCGGATGGTTTAGTTGAGCTTGCAGTGAACTCTATTCTCATTCTTTTATTCATCCGCTCAATTAATACGAAATTTTTCAAGAGAATTTTCAACTCAACCCAACTCGTTTACACTTTTAACACTTCCCACAGTAACCTACGTAATGATTAACGAGACGTTTGAAACGTTGAGTGAAAAAATATTAAAATATAAAATAAATTAAAAAAAAAAACATTTTATAATTAAGAAGAGAGTGAAAGAGAGGGCGTCGGTGCATGGAAAATAATATAGAGAGGAAGAGGAATGTAAATAGCGATGAGACATATACACAACTCAATTTGTTTAATGCTCATGAAAGCAACTCTCCCATCAATCCTGACCGTCCATTCTAGGCCCCTCCCTGCTGACGTGGAAGCTCCTCCGGCGGCTCAATCTTAAAACCAGGCCCTCCCTCCCTCCCTCCCATTGAAGGTGACCTCTGTCCTTCTCCTCTCTTCAATTCAGACTCCCCACCACTCCCCTTTCTTAACCCTCCCCTTCTTCTCCCTTCCTTATCATCTCTCTGTTTCCTCCTCTGTTTCTCCTCTGCTTTCCTCTGTTTCTGTTGCTGACAGTTCTCCTTTTCCTTTAACCTCTTCCTTTTCTTCTCATGGGAAGGCACTCTTGCTGCTATAAACAGAAGCTGAGGAAAGGCCTTTGGTCTCCTGATGAAGATGAAAAGCTTCTTAATTACATAACCAACCACGGCCATGGCTGCTGGAGCTCTGTTCCTAAGCTTGCTGGTATGCGCTCTGTTTCTACTATTACTACTACTACTACACCGCCCACACAATGTGCCCTTTTCTTCATCTCTCTTGTTTCTTCTAGGCCTACAACGCTGTGGGAAGAGCTGCCGCCTTCGATGGATTAACTATCTCAGGCCTGATTTAAAAAGGGGTCCTTTCTCCCAGCACGAAGAGGATTTGATCATTGAGCTTCACGCAGTCCTTGGAAACAGGTGCTTTCTTGTTCTTCGATTCATTTACACTTTTTGGATTTGGATTCGAAATGGGTTTTTGTTTTTGGATCAGATGGTCTCAGATTGCTGCTCAGCTACCTGGAAGAACAGATAATGAAATCAAGAACTTGTGGAATTCGTGCATTAAGAAGAAATTGAGACAGAAAGGGATTGACCCCAACACGCATAAGCCTGTCTCTGTGTCGGGTGATGCTGACAATGACAGTGAGAAGCAGCTCCCCCCGACATCCACTTCTCATAGAAGCAACGATAACAGCTCCGATGAAGCCATTGAAACGCCGCTGCCGATCATCACTTCATCCAATTCCAGTTCTCAAATCTATTCCCCAACTCAAGAGTTTTTCCGATTCCAAACCACCACCGCCGGCAGCCACAGAGCTTCTGAATTGGTCGAGTTTCTGTCTTTTCACAATCTCAATTACGTCTCTGAAATCCCAAACCCAAATCCCAATTCTCTCTGTTTCAATCAAACTTCCCACTTACTCCCTCCGCCGTCAATTCCATTAAAACCCACCTGGGAAGGAACCGATTTCACCGCCGCCGCCGCCACTGCAAGTGGCGGAAGCAGCTTCTTTGACGGAGGGAACTTCCCATGGGGACTGCCGGAGTGCGGAAAAACAGAGAAACTGAATCCGACAGCAATAAGAGAAGACAAGAAATGGTCAGAGATTATGGAGAATCCATTCATGATGGGGAACACAACCGGAGAGCAAAATCAAGAATCTCAATCTCAAAATGAATCAATGTATGTAGAGAATTTAAGTACGGCGGCGGAAACAGAGTTCATAACAGAGAGCGGGTGGCAGAGTCAGACACAGAGACAACAAGCTCAAGCTTCCTCGGATGCTGTATATAACAAACACCTCCATACTCTTACTGTTTCTTTCGGACATACCCTTTAATTCAATCCAATTATTTTCCAAACCAACATACAAGTAAATCAGTTTTTCCTTGTTTTTTTCTTAGCCGATGCTCTGTTTTCATAGCTATTACTAGATTGTGTGCAGTGGTTGTAGTGAAAGACAGGATTTTTCATAAAGAAGAATGAAAAGGAAGGTGAATAAACATGAGGAAAAGGATATGATGAAATAAATGTGAGAGATTTGTTGTGGGTTTTTCGAGATTGTTAATGTTTTGGTCGCTGTCTTGTCTTCCAGTTTGTTGTGTAAAATTACAGGACAGCCAAAATTGTGTGTTTGAGTATGAACTTGCAGGTATGATATACACAATACAACAAATGTCAGAAGGAGAAGACAAGGGAATTTGAATGAAAGAGTTGCCACTTTTTTCTTTGATTGCTACGTACAATCTACTCTTTATTCATAAAAGCAACGTCTCTAACTTATTTATACATTCTTTTTGTTTTTGTTTGTTCCTTCCCAATCATCATTCCATGTGTTTGCCATTTGGAAGGGAATGGGAAGATGATGACTCCACATCGCTCCATCTCCAACTCTACGGTGCCAATACATTTATAGTAACGATAATATCGTTCTTCAGTTTTGACTCGACCACTCTTCCATCTCAACAAAAGACCATGCAAGTTTCTCCACTCGATCTTATTCTGGGTACCCTAAAAAAAGGGAACTTTTTCTCTCCTAAGCCATTTGCCATATTGGATTAAGAAAATGAGAAAGCACCTCTCTCTCTACCAAAATAGTGTGATTCTAGAGGGTTAGGATCCTTTTCTTTGGAACAATCGAGGACACCGATTAACCAACCAAAGTTAGCTTCTTCCATCGTTATATACTGAACAAAAGTAAAAACTTCAATAACGAACAGATGATAGTAAAAAGTCATAATAAATCTCGTAGCTCTTAGACGATAAAAGATGTTGATGTTGCTTTATAGTCAACTTTTTCTCTTTCGAAGTATATCGGATGTTGGTAAAGAATCATACCTATGATATGAGATAAAATATAGATAAAGGGATTGAAGAAGAGAAGGCATGTGAAGGCACAATTAAGAGAGATAAAAAAAGAAGAAGAAAAGGATAGAGGAAGAACAAAAAAGAAGAGTGTTTTGGAATATATATAATGGGGAAGTGAATTTTATATTGGGGGATGCATGTGCACTACATTATTGGTAGTAGGAAGCCAAGGTCGGCGTTGCCTTTGCCTTTGCCTTTGTCAATATTACAAGCCCACACACACACACACCTCTCCATCTCTTTCTTCTTTGCTTCTCCCTTTCTTTATTACTATTAGAATATCGCATAGGCTACGTTCGTCATGCTGATGACACGATTTTTACTATCATAAGAGGAGGAAATTCTGAGGAAGTATGTTCCAGGGTTAAGGCGCCCGAGAAGGCTAAAAAGATGGGGAACAAGAGTTGTCACAATAGGAAAGAGAAATGACTAAAAGAAACCAACGGTTCTCTATTCTTAAACCACATATATCTTCCGCTCACGACTGCCCTTCTTTGAACCGTAGGAATTTTTATCTGAACTAGTCAAAATATTTAGTTCTTATTAGATATGTTGCATAAGACCCACGATTAAAATAAACCGAATCATATAGATTAAGGAGAAAAAACAACTTGAGGGAAGAGATACTTTAAATAAAAAAAACATTAAGTAGTTATGCTTTTCAATTCTATTTGTTGTTGTAAATAAAACACACTGAGTATTTATAGTGGAGAAAGAACTCACTCACAAATTTTCAACTTTATGTACGAGTTAGTAACTACTAACAATTCTCCTAAACAAAAAAATTAGCAATTTTCCTAAATTTATTCAAGTTAATAACGACCGATGGTTATTCTAAAATTCATTCTCAAGTTAATAACTTCTACTAAGTCAAGTTTGTTAGCTCAAAGCCTTCTCAATTGTATGAATAGAGGAATGCACCCTTTTTACGTTCATTGTTTTACATCGTTTAGAAGATCTCCAACACTTGTTTACATCACAAAACATGTGAAAGAATGAAAGTTCGATACTGATTCAAACCCAGAGAATCTCTCCGAGACACAATAATAATATCGGGTTTCACCTTGAAGATCATTCCAACAAAAACTCACATAATCTAAGTTATAAAGTGGTAGGAGCTGGGTTTAGGGTTTAGAGAAGGAAAAAGATCTAAAAATCACATGGGTTTGCAATGTATGTCAAGCTCATCATGTTCGTAGTGCTAGAAAAGTAGCTTGTGTACGCCAAAATTCACTTAGTCTACTTAAAGCCATTAGATGGTCTTGAACTCTACTAACCAAACGACAAGGTCCGCTCTGACTCGTTCTTTATCTGATCTCCCACAAACTCTAATATTCGAAAACCTAAACCCTAAATTTTAAATTCTCGTAATAGATGTTTATTAATTAATAGTTATTTTATTTACGATACTATATTATAAATTTATATGAACAATCCAAACTTAGTAGTGTTGTTAATCTTGAATAGTATCAGGTGTTTGCATAAAAATCATGTATTAAAATAACTTAAAGTTTATAGCATATGGATAAGGTTTGATGTCTTCTCTTGGTCACACTCTTGATATTACTCATTTTGTGATAGTTAAAAAGTATTTGTTCTAAATTCATGTGAAGGCAGTATCATGTATGAAGAATTTGTATTCAACTAATCTAAAATTGAGACGGGTGGTATCCTTTTCCTTTTCTAAATATTTTAGAATTTTTTCCTGTTAAACGTAGAATAGATTATATTTGTACATACTAAGATAATTTACTAATTTCATGGTTTGTTACAATGTAATCTCATTATACACATCTATAAATACATGAGGTCGTGACCCATATTGGTCACAGCCATTCAACCTAACATGGTATCAGAGTCAAGGTTTATTCATTAACAATATCTATCATATCCTCTTCCTCCTCCTCATCCATTGTCTCCAACACGATCTCAACTACCATGGCGTCGACCTTTGGCCCAGTCCCTCTTCACCACGCTGTCACAATCCGTCTCACAAAAAAAAAAAACTTCATCATATGGCACGCCCAGTGTCACGGTCATGCTCGTCCAGGGCGTGTTGCCCATGGCCGCATGCCTATGACAAGCCAAACCCTTGTCATGTCTTTTCATTCTAGTGTTTTTTCTTTTGTAGTTCTAGGGCGTATGACGCCTCAAAAATATCATGTCTAGGCCTGCTAGACATAAAATGGCTCAGAATGTACTATAGGGGATATGACTAGTTGTCAACTTCTCCCTACCCAAGGTTATATATGCTAAGCCGTTGTTATCTTTCTCTTGCTTGCTTATATAACGTCTCTTTCCAAAATCTCTCTTTCTAAAATCTCTCTCTCTCCTCGTTTTCTAAAACCTTCTTTTAAAACCGAGGCTAGAGGCTCGATTATACGTCGCTTGGCCGTAGGCGACGTAAGAACAAATTGGCTTAGCTCACTTGTCGTTGGAAAGTGAGTACCGCACAATCGCTAGTCCGTTGCCTTCGAAAGTGCGATTGTGTCAAGTGGTATCAGAGCTTTGTTAGCTCCGTAACATGTAAAGACCGAAATCATGTCGGCGACAAAGTCGACACCCAAAGCACAAGCCGACCGGCTTACGCTAATAGAGGAGGAAATGCTGTTCCTCAAGGAAGTCCCTAACACCCTCTGCTTCCTGGAAGCACGGGTGACCGAATTGAGTGGGAAAGTCAGAGAAATCGGCGCAATGGGCAACCGCCTGGATGGGTTGCCAATCGCAGAACTGATGTTTTGAGTGACCTCGCTCGAAGAAAGAGTTGCTCCTACGAGCAGCCCAAAACCGTCTGGTAATCCGGATAGCTCTGTCGCACACAAAGAGGGACGTGGCGAAGAGTTCGACGTGCTGCAAAATACAATAATGAGTTTGTTCAATGAATTAGCTGATGAATTCAGAACAATAATCGACGACATCCAAGAAAGGATGACCTCCATGAGCACTCGAATTGAAGTGACCAGGAAAGCCGTGGAAGGCGTCACGGCTGGGCAAACTAATGCAGGATCCAACAAACTAAGATTCCCAGACCCTAGAGCCTTCAAAGGGAATCGGGACGCCAAGGAGTTGGAAAACTTCATCTTTGATGTCGAACAGTACTTCAAAACCACAACGGCTTGTACTGACAACCAGAAGGTGACTGTAGCCTCGATGTATCTCATAGATGACGCCAAACTGTGGTGGCGTACGAAGGTGCAAGACATCAAGAATGGATTGTGCACCATCGACTCATGGGAGGACCTCAAGAAAGAGTTGAGGGAACAATTCCTCCCCGAAAATGCAGGACATATAGCAATGGAGAAAATAGTAGCCCTGAAACATACTGGAAACATACGAGACTATGTCAGACAGTTCTCAACCTTGATGTTGGATATCAGCGGCACAGCAGAGAAGGACAAGGTGTTCTTCTTTATAAATGGGTTACAGCCGTGGGCCAAAACAAAGTTACATGAGAACAAGGTCCAAACCCTAGCTGCCGCAATGGCCTGCGCCGAGAGACTCCTAGACTGTGGGAACGAAGCAGGATCCCAAAAAGAATGACACCGGTCCCAAACACTGGGGCAAAACATACAAGCCACCAGGTCATCGAAATGGAAGCCCCAACAGACCGAACGGAGGAAACGACAAACTAAACGGATGGACGGATAGACCTCCTCAGAACAATCAAGTGGGGACATCTCGAGGACCTTACCATCAAAGAAACCACCCGACGACACCTTTACAATGCATGCTGTGTAAAGGTCCCCACAAAGTATCCTACTGTCCTCATCGGGCCTCTCTCATTGTGCTCCAAGTGTCCATTCAAGAGAGCAATGATGCAAGGGTCGAGACTATGCTAGACAAGAAGGAAGATCACGACAACCCCCGAATGGGCGCACTTAAATTCTTGTCAGCCCTCCAACGGAAAGTCGAACCGAAGGAGATAATAGAGAAAGGGCTCATGTTCGTAGATGCGACAATAAACTCTCGACCGAGCAAGAGCACCCTGATAGACTGAGGAGCGACCCACAACTTCATTGTCGATCAGGAAGCCCGAAGATTGGGACTCACCGTAGGAAAGGACCCGGGGAAAATGAAAGCTGTCAACTCCGAGACCTTGCCTATTGTGGGAGTTTCCAAAGGAGTCCCCTTCAAAATAGGGGATTGGATAGGAGAGCTAGACCTTGTCGTGGTTCGCATGGACGACTTCGACGTGGTACTTGGGATGGAGTTCCTCCTAGAACACAAAGTCATCCCAATGCCACTGGCGAAATGCTTGGTGATCACCGATCGCAACCCCATAGTAATACCTGCAAACATCAAGCAACCAGGTAATCTTCGAATCATCTTGGCCATAAAACTGAAAAGGGGACTCGCATGAGAGGAACCTAC